AGAAGGGACGCGCGCCCCTGCCTGCGTGTGGGCTCCGCCGGGCTGGGGGATCAACGCGGGCTGCCAATGCACACTGCTGAGGCAGGCGTTCAGGGACGAGTCTCCGGGCGCAAGGGGCCCCCGCTGGGAGCACGCGGGCAAACGCACCCCGAAAAATCCGCACTGAGACCGTGTGAACGCCCGGGGGCGGCCTGAAGATCACGTTTGAAATACCGATTTCAAGGGCACCGGCTCCGCGCTGCGGACCCCGCAACCGCGCTGGCCAACCCGGGGCAGAGGAGGCAGTCGGGGCTGGGGAACCGGGTGGGCCCGCCGCCGCGCAGGAACCGCAAGTCCCACCTAGGCGCCGGCGAACCCCACGTGTCGCAGGGTGCAGGCGCGGCCCGCAGGCACTCTCATGGCCCCGAGGGGTGCTGGGCCCTGCCCAGGGGCCACGTCCCCGCCCTCCAGGGCCCTTGGCTCCAGCCCCACCGGGTGGGACGCGAGACCACCGGAGCTTTGCTGCTCCGAAGAACATGGCCTTACGCGGGCAGGGTAGCCGACGCGGAGGGGCATTCTTTCAGGTCGGTGGAAACTGCCGAGTGGGAGGGGCGTCCGGCACAGCTCCCCACACGTCCACCAGGTCGCAGTGCCAGAGCCGGAGTCAGACGGTTCCCTCGTAGGACGAGGAACCGACCGGGCAGTAGCGGGGGAAGAGCAGGGCCAGGTTTACAGTGGGTGCTACCGACCACGTGCGCCCCCACCTCCGCGCGCCCCCCCCGCCCCCCGCCGAAGGCTCCCTGACAGAACAGGGACAGAGCTGGCCTGGACTGGCCCACAGGCGAGGGTGCCGCTGAACCAGAGCCGCGTCCTCCCCGGGCGACGGGGGACAACCACCACCCACCACCACCCACCCCCGTCCTGCGCCCACTCTGGGAGAGAACGGCTGTTTACAGTGGTTTGCTACCATGCAGTCTCTTCCGACTGTTCCTCGGGGACCCCAGTTCACAGTCATAAAGGGTCTGCTCATTCCCCCTGTACTTGGGCGAGGCGAGGAGAACTTGGGGCTGAGTGACGGACGTCTTCCTCTCCTGGGGGCCTCTGGGGGCCACAGCCCACGTAGCACTGCCAGAGCTGGCGGTGCTGGGAAGGGGCCGTGTCATCCTTGCCCCGAGTTTCCCCTGGCACTGGGGCTATCCCGGGCCGGGGACTGGGGCTCCCATCCGAAGGCTCTGGGAATCCCAGGTTTGGGGCCAGACTAGCCCGCCACTCCCTCCTCGAAGGGGCCCAGACCAGCTTGCAGTGGGCGGGGCAGCCCCTGGGTCCTTTACTGGAGGGGCTCTCTCTGCGGCGTACCGGGGAGCTCCCGGAAAGGCGGGCTCCCTGGACCTGCCCCTCCCCCTCCTGGCCGCCCATTCCGCCTTTTTGCGAACTGAGGCTCTTCCCAAACGCTGTGAGGTGGAGGATGACCTAGGCCTGGCCCCCAAGTGAGAATGGGGATCCGATGGATCCAGTTCAACCAGCACCGGGACCAAACACGCCCACAGAGGAAGCACGCTGCCGCCACTGGGGTGGGACCACGGGAGGGCAGGGGAGGGGATGCTGGTCCGTGCCTGTCACTGTCGGAGTCGCTGTGGGCTGGGCGTCTGGGCTCCTGGAGCATCTGGGGCTCCTAGGGGTGACAAGTCCGGTGGGAGTCAGGTGGCTCTTGGCGCCTCGGCTCAGGCAGATGTAGACAAAGTCAGCTGTGGGGGGCAGGGGGGTGGCGCCTCCTCCCCAGCACCGCAGGGCCACAAGCCCACGCCGCCGCTGCGCGCTCCAGCTCGCTGTGGAGAGCTGGGTCCCACCGCGTGGCCCCTGAAATCCCAAGCGCTGGTCCCCGAGGGGCCCCCGGCCTAGAAAGCGGGCCGTAACCGGCGAATTCCCACGTCCCCAGTGATCAGGCGGCTCAGCGGCCACTGGCCCACCCCTCTCCTGTCCTCCTAGCTGGCAGAACACCGCGGAAACACCCGCCTGATACCTATTTTCCTGGGGATTTTCGAGAAAGAGGGGGGGTGGAATGTCGGGAAAGCCAGGCTGTTCCCTGCGAAAGGGCCAGGCAGGGCAGAACTTCAGACCAGCCCACCACCCGCCCACCTCGACTGCTTGGTCCGGCTAGGCTATGGGCTCCCCAGACTCCCAGCCTGACAGCACGGTCCGTACCGGCCCAGGGGCCATTTCCCCTCAAAATCCCAGCGGAGAAGTCCCAGCCGGAACACAGCTGTGGGAGAAAGCCCTTTCCCTCCTCCTCCCCTTCCCCCCAAAAGAACTCGTCTCCCCAGCTTATGTAGGCTCAGAGAACCCCGGGGCTGGAGGCCGCATGCAAGATCGCCCCTCCTTTCCCGCTCACCCACCCGCCTAGATTCTGGGAAGTCCAGAGCCTGTGGGAGCGTGGCCACTGTGGGACTTTCTCTGCCACGCGAGACGCCCCCACCCCAGCAGCCCTGCAGGGGGCGGCGCCGCGCGCCGGTTCCCCAGGAGGCGAGCACTACTGCCGCAGAGCCGCCGCCGCCGCCGCGGTGCCGCGAGGTGCAGGCGGCCTCGTGGAACGGTGGCGCGCGCGCGCGCGTGTGTATGTGTGTGTGCGCGCGCGCCGGTGTGTGCACGCGCGTGCGTTCTCAGCCACCAGACCTTCTTCCTGGGTTCCTGGAAGCATGCCCGCTTGGGGACTCGCTCCGCACCCTATCCCCCCAGACTCCCGGACCCCGGTGGCGGGTAGGGCGGCGCAGAGGTACAGATGGCTCCCGCCCCCAGCACACACACACACACACACACACACACACACACTCGCTTGCTCGCTCTTCCTTTGCTCCCGGTCGGCGGATTGCGCAACTTTCCTGTTCTCGTTCTTCTAGGGCGGGACACACCCAGGACAGGCGCGCCCCCGCCCCTCTGGGCCCTCTTCTGGGACCCTAAGGTGCGCGCGACCCGCAGGCGGCGCCCTGCCATGGCTGCGGGCTGTGCCGCGGCTCCCTCGCCACAGCACGTCGTCTCGCCGCCCAGAGGTGCTGCACTCTGCTCCGGCCAGCCGAGTTGGGAGGGCCTGGGCTAGCTGGGGACCAGGGGTGCGAACTCTCCCTTTCCTGCGCCACCCCTCCGCGTGTGCCCAGCACTTCTCCACTAGGCCCCAGTCTCTCCCTAGCGTCCCTTCGAGCACTTTCGAGGACCCTGCCCCTTTCTGATCTCCCGCCTCTCCCAGCTAGGTTGAGAGGCTGCAGGGCGCCGGAGAGCCCCCGCCTCGCCAATGAGGGTGGAGCGGGAACTGGAGTCCGTCGGACTGGGTGGATTCCTCAGAGCCTCTTCCCCCGCAGGCTCCTGCGCTGGGCCCCAGGGCCCGCTGCCGCTCGTGCCCCACCCCCTTCTGCGCTCTCTCTCTCTGCCGGGCGCCTGGCACCCAACGCTCTCTTCCCGCCCTCGCCCTCTTAAATGCCCACGGCTGCGTGGGGCGAGTCAGTGGGCGCCGAGGTTGGGGCACAAGCTGCCCCGGGACCGACGTTGCCCCCTGCCGGCGGCTCCCCGGTGTCTGGGGCACTGATGACGCAATTCGATGCAACTATGAACTGCAGTGGTGTCCGTGGCCCACCGC